TGAACACTTACCAACTGTTCTCATGATTGTCGGCGCCGAAAATGCGTTCCACAGAGTGGGACGGACGTTTTTAGCCGAAACTCTTACTTTTGGAATTGAAGGATTATTTAAAGATCTAGCTATGTCTTTATACACTTTTCCCAAAGCAAACATATTTGGAAATGGTTTGAACTCTCAGTGGTTCGATATTAGGAACAGAACACGTCAGGGGTGCCTCTTGGCCCCTCTGATGTACGTTCTTTCTGTCGAAACTTTAGCGGTCCTTATTAGACAATCTAATAATATGTCAGGAATTCTAATGTGGGATAGTGAGCAAAAGATAAGATCTCTGCTGTATTGCGCATGAACGGTAAAATTCCCGTCTAAGGATGTATGTTGGTATAGGCAGTGCCAGTGCTCCAAATGGAATGCAAATATAGTATATATACTACGCATATTTGCATTCCATTTGGTGCACCGGCACTGCCTATGCCTATACAGCAGAGCTCTTACATAGCTCACTAAAATGTGAGAGGAACTCATATAGCAGTTATTTCATAATTTGTACCTCATCATACTGTAATTCACCATTATTGTTTTTTCTGTTATTTTGAGGTTTAAAGTATTAAATCATCTGAGGATTTATGTACGTATAAATTGTGGGCACAGTATACGCCATACGCTCTACTATTTGAGCAAAAGATAACATTATTTGCTGATGACATAATTCTTACCCTTACCCATCTGGAGATTTCTATCATTTTAGCTATGGAATGTATAGACGAATATAGTAGTTTCTCCAATTATAAACTAAATTTTAAAAAAACTCAAATAATACACTGTAATCGCTCCCAAACCCAAGAAGAATTACTTAAGACAAAATATAGGTTTAATTGGGATATTCAGTCAATATAATATCTGGGAACCCTAATTAATTTTGATATAAATACATGGATAAACTTAAACTTTTTACAGATTTGAAAGACCAGATTAAAAAATGGAGTAATACAATAATATCTTGGATACGTCAATTAAACACATTAAACGCTTATCTAATACCTAAAATAGAGTACCTCTTTTGAATGATACCATTAAGAGTCTCTAATAAAATATTGAACCTTTTTGATAAATTATTTCATTCCTTTGTATTGGCGAGGAAAAATAGCAAGAATAATTTAAAAGATAATGACAGAGCATATGCGGGTGGGAGATCTGTCCTTTCCTAATATTCAGCTGATTCATTTTTAGAATGTGGAAACAAAAACTCTCAAAAGAAAACATGGTATAAGATTGAGAAGAAAGATTTTAAAAATTTAGATCCGTTTTTTTTTTTTTGGCTGGATAGCAATATTTTTAAGAATTTAAGGATTGCTAATGCGATAATCACTCAAATCTATCAAGCTATAGATCCTATAAAGAAGTTATTTTTCGCTCAAGATCAAATTTCTTGCAAAGTTCCTTTGGAAGTGGTTAACTATTTATAAATGATCTTAACATAACTGATTGCCTAAAAAAACATAACTAAAATTGATCAATTGGGTTCCAATATATCTCCTAATACTGTCTCAGATATGCAACAGAAATACGGTCTGATAATGAAAAATTCACATATCTAAGAATCATTAACTTTATAAAAAATATTCATTTAGTGGATCAGTCCCCTCTTGATACACTTCTTTTTGGGGCAAATACCCAAAAATCTTCTAAGCTCGGACAAATTATTAATAAATCTACCCCTGTAGAAAAAATTTAAACTATTATAAAATGACCTTGGCAATTTCTTTTCCCATCAATCATGGATTGAATCCATTGGCTATCTTACAAAATCAGTACACTGTATAAATATATTAGAAAATCTTTTATAAAATTCTCAACAGGTGGTATTTAGTTCCCATAAGATTATGTAAATTTAAAGCTGAATACTCCAATCAATGCTGTAGATGTAATAAAGATCTTGGAACATTGAAACATATCTGGTGGGACTGCCCTAAACTGAATTGGATGAAAGAGCTTCTTTTACAACTGTTTAAAGATTTAAAATTAGACATATTGGAATTGACTCCTAAAAAGTTTCTGTTCCATTTGAATCTTACCTGTTCGTTAAATTTTGAAAAATTTCTGATAATTCATATTTTAATGGCAACAAAGATTTGTATTGCAAGATATTGGAAGAGCGAGGAAACTCCCACATTTACCAAAATTATAACCCAAATAAATCATCAAGGAGAAATGCAAAAAGCAGTTTTTTTTTAACAATGGAAATATTTTAAAATATAATAAAATCTGGGCTAAATGGTATGAGTACTACAATATGAGTATATGATCTATAGGAAAACTATATGGGCATTATATGTTCAAATAAATGATAGTCATTAATTTATAATTGGAAATATTGTCTCAAAATTAACTTTACTAAAATAACATCAAAACAGATTCAGCTAACCCATTCCTACAAAAAATGGTACCCTTGGCACACATGATGCCCTTACCTATTATCGATTTAAAAAAAAATTAAAAAATAAATCTTTTTTTTTTTTGTGATTCTGTGTATTGTAGGTATGTTTATTGCTAAGACATTACATGAAATAAGATAATCTGAGTAATCTACAGTTAGTATTGAGTAAAAATTGATTAATATTGATTTACTTAATTAATCATTAAATAATTAGGGGTTATTATGATTTATTACAAGTATACTATCCTAGATTAATGGTAGTATTAAGTTAATGACAAAATTAATATAAAACTTACCAATTGTTTGATGTAGAGAAACTCAAACGATATAAGTCTGTATTGTTAGTCTGTACTATTTTTTAATGATAGAAGTTTTATTGTAATATAATGTTCTATATGTTTCTACTTATGTAAAAATCAATAAAAATGTAACAATAACATTTTTTTGAAGAGTCTACCATATTACTACTATGTAATTTACTGTATATAGAAGAGCACTATTTGTAAACTTTTTGTAATAGTGTATCCTATACAAAAAGTATTTTTATTTGCTTGCACATGTTTATTCCCACACCACCACTTTATTCTTTCATACATAGTTTAAGCCCCTTGCTACCAGAGGTGCAACTCCACCTCCATCACAGTTACTAGTGAGCCCAGAAAGAGAACCCCGGGACTAGCTAATCTTTATTCTGTGCATATTGGACTGCTGTCATCACCACATATAGCATGCTCATATTAGACAATCAATGGCGGCTTATCCCCTCCCGTTCTAAGTCCTCCTCTCAGCCCAGGAGCTAAGATACATTTTCAGAGTAAAATGTAATAGAAGATCCACTTGCAAAAAACTTAAGGGACAATGTAAGCACCTAGACCACTTAAGCTAATTGAAGTTGTCTGGATGCAGTGTCCCTGTCAGTTTAGTCCTGTAATTTAATTATTGCAGTTATATTATAAACTGCAATAATTACATTGCAGGGTTAACTTCACTTTGAGGGGGGCACTGTTGTGCTAGGAACTTAACTTTGTATTTCTTTCACTTTAGTTTTCCTTCAGTGCTTTACAACAACAGTTTAAAAATGTGAATTGTACACTCAGTGCTTGATAATGCAATTTAAAATTAAGTTGCCCACATTTAGGGTTTGGTTATATATTTTATTAAACCAAGCCATGACAGGTAGACTTAGAAACATTTCTGTGCCATTGCACCTTTTGTCAAACTTGATTCTAAAGTTATGCTGGATGTCTACATAAAACTTTAAATGTTATGCTGGGTCTTTGTGGCAGGAGCCCATATTTCCTGTACAAGTTGAAAACCAAATCTAACTAATAAGCATTGAAAATAATTGCAATAGATACATTGAGATCTATAACAATATACACATACATAAACCATTCTAAATATTATATGCACCATTTCAGGAGGGAATTGTACTAATTCATCTTATGTACTATTCTAGTTGTTGGGTTAAGGCTTTAGTTTTTTTTTTTTTTAAATATTACATTATTGCCTTGTTTCTTTAGCTGTCTAACCATATAATGCTATAATAGTGGTAAAACAAATTTTATTTAATTTTTGAATAGTGAATTTATTTTCTAAAGATCACAATATAGGTTTTATTTGTTTGTTATTTTTGTTTGAAACTTTTTGTTTGACCTTTGTTTCTTTATTTGTATATGGTGTTACCTTGTTATAAATACATGCAGCTTTCTTCCTTTAGAATATAATTGTGATACAAGGCTATATTTGCAGATCAATATTTGTATGAATTCAATACATAATGTCAGATTTATTTCTTGAAAAAGTGAGTGCCTTTTCTTTATTTACTGAGATAATGCAATGTCATGTTTCTTTCTTCCAACGCAACCCTCCAACCCCTTTCTATTAATATGTCACGTATACATCCTCTCCATAGTAGTGCTTCTCGGCGGTCCTATGCCATAAGACCGGGCTTTTGCGACATGCCGATGGACGCCGGCCACTGCAGATCCACACTGTTATGTAGCCCCACGTCTGTCCACAGTGGTAGCAACGTCGACATGTGGGTGACATCACGCAGAGGACGCGCACGCACATTTTGGGGTCAAACGGCAAGTACAGCCAATAAGATTCACAAGAGGGATATTTAAACTCACTAATTTCTTCTACTCGTTGCCTTGTCTTGGTTTCCCTTTGCTGGTTATCCGAGAGTGTGTTCCTGATCATGTTTCTTGGGTTATTGACTTTGGCTTTGGCTTTGTTCTGATTTCCCTGAATTCTGGTATCCCTGACTATTGGCTATTCCTTGCAACTGTGTTTCATTCTGTGTTCCTGACCTCGGCTAGTATTTAGATTATTCTCTGACGTTAAGTCCAGCCATTCTAAGGTCAGGTTAGACGTTATCCTTTGGTTGTCCAGTTATGATTAATAGTAATAAAGGAACTCCTTTCGCTTCAGCAGTTACACAGCAGGTTTGTAAAATGTTGAGTATAGATGGGAAATTTCATATACCCTATCACCCTCAGCAATTAGGACACGTAGAAAGGATGAATAGAATGATCAAGGAGAAATTGACAAAAGGAGGCTTGGGTAGCACACGCAAATGGCCAGACAATTTGCCAGGAGTTTTAGCTGAGATCAGAATGACCCCTAGTTCCACTACGGGTTATTCACCCTTTGAAATTTTAATGGGGAGACCTTTTCCAACTTCATGGTGTAAGTCCAAAGGTGCTTCGATGGTGAGCGGAGACCTAAATGTTGTGTTAGATGACTATGTATTGAACCTTGTAGACAAATTGAATGGCATCTATGGTGATTTGTCTGTATCTCTTCCTCATCCTTCAGGTACTACCACACATCCATTCAGGCCTGTAGACCAAGTCTTTGTGAAATCCCTCTTCAAATCTGGAACCTTTGATCCACCGTACAGCCCTCTGACAACCGTTGTTGCCATCTCCAGAAGAGCTGTTCTGACCGAGGAGAACCAGATATGGAATCATGCAAGCAGATTAAAAAGATGTCCCATCAAGCACTCTGGATATTCCAAGCAAAGAAGATCAACTTCAGACTGATCTAGAATGAACAATAGTGCTCGGTGCAACCTAATTATTCTTCTTTCCATGGGACTTGGTTATGCGCTGATTAATATTATTTGATCCCAAAGAAAAGTGATAGTAAAATATGTTATTAATATATTTCACTCTAAACAGGCTTTATCTTCTTCATCATGGGAAACAGACAATCATTTTATTGGATCTGCAAAGAATTTATACCAAGCCCTAAATTTAAATAATTGTTTAATAAACCTTAATTCGTCCAGGAGGGAGGCACGGTCTTATTATAGCCATGGCTCCCCGGAGATTTTCTTCAGAAATAAAGGTTCTGAAGTTTTTTTTCTTCCCTGAGTGCTATAATCGAAAATTAATAGATTTACTGATATGTTATTCTTTCAGAATAAAAGATTGGAATGATATGGATTAATGAGCACCTTTCCTGTGTCACACTACACAGTTGATTGAGTAATGTCAGGATGCTCTATTATAACAGCTGGCCTTTGATCCTGATTTGTATCTTCTTCTTGTTTCGCCCCCTGCACTGCATATCCTGTTAACACCTTGTTGGGGAGTGTTTGTTTAATCAAGTAACACCCTTTGACCAGCTAATGCCAAATGTGCTTTAAGTTCTTTGAATATGCAATTGACAGGACATGACTGTATTATGTGAAGACAACCCCTTTTGGATGTGTATAGAATTTTGTTATAAGATCTGTGTTTTCCCCATTAAAATTAGGTGTAGTATTCTGCCATACACTTGTGTGAATGAGTACTGCCCTGCAAGCTTGTATTTCTGCTGTGTCCATTCCTTGTCCTCATACCTGAGAGAAAACATTGCTGTCTGCTGAATTTAAACCACAACAATGGGTCAATAGCTTCTTGATCCAAGCAGAGATTTGACTGCCATTTTGGGGTCAAGAACAAATTTTTCCAAGTTTGCTGTGAAATTGTAAAGTGCTTCAGACTTGTTTTTTAAGTTGGTTTTTTGTGCCTTTTTTGGATTAACAGCAAAAACAGATGTGAGAAAGACTGAACTTGGTGGAAGAATATCTTTTTTTAGCTATGTATTTATCATACAAATTGTAAAGGATTTCCAATATGAATGGCAACTTTCCCTAACACCTCTTAAACCAAACTAGGTTTTGATTACAGAATTAACACTTTTAACATGTTGCAGCATTAAAGGACCATTTATTAATTACTTGCAGCTGAACTGTATAATGCCATAAAATAATTTTAATCTTAAGATATACTCAAACTATCATTATTCACTTACCTAATTTCACAAACTGTACAATATATGAGTTATGAAACTGCTTAATTAAGCTTCTGCAATATGTTACATTAAGTAATATTAAGTACATTACAAGCTCTGGCAAACCACAACCACAGTATGTTCAGATGTTCTGTTTTAGGCATAATTATTAGATAGATGTTAACTATTCATTCTGTATTTGATTTTTAGGCACAATGTCACCATTTTAACTTAACTAATTTTGCCAACTACTATTAACTTAGCAAAACTAAGCACCCAATATGTGTGCTTTGAATATGCTTTGTTGAAACAAGTCTCTCTGTACAGAGTTTATTTTAACTCTTTAATTTGATTTTGCAATAATCATTGCTATAAACATATATTCCTCAATCAAATGTGTCAAATGTAAAATATATCATTTTATTTTCAAATTTATGTGTAAATTAAGATTTCAATCAACTTCATCAAACAAAAAGGTTTTTAAGCTAGGAACGTGACATACACGATAACCAGAAATTGTAAACACACAACTCATGTTTTCTCTGTCATCTGTCTACTCCCAGGGTCTGATTGAATATTACAATTTTATAATTCACCTCCAATTTTTTCAAATCATATTGCAAATCCAAGCTTAACACTTTTAAATTCAAATTAGTGTCCTTTAAAATTGTCATAATATTTATTTAAAATGTAGCAAGCAGATAATATATGATAAAAAAAAACTAATTTGTGCATTGATTGCTGTTCAAGGATAACATGATTATAATGATCTAAATTAACACAGTTGGATGTTTAATCTATTTCCTTATCCTAAATAATAGTGAGTATGTTTTAGAGATTATAGGGTATTAGTTATGTTGCAATATTTATTTTAGTGCACTAATTGCACTCAATTTTTACATTTGTCAACAGTACCCCTTTGGAGTTTATTGTTAAAGGGACATTATAGGCACCCTGACCACTTCAGCTCATGGAAATTGTCTCGGTGCAGTGTCTCAGATACCTTAACCCTGCCAAAGTAATTATTGTAGTTTTTAATAAACTAAAGTGTATTACCTTTTGAGGGTTAACTCCACCACTATGGCTGTCTACCAGAAAGTCACTAGAGGGACTTCTGGGTGGTTATTTTTGGTGCTGAACATCCTCACACTGTGCATTAGGACATCCAGTGTCATCTAAAATCCCATACGAAAGCAGGTGAGCAACAAAAGGCATTTTGTTTTTACTCATTCTGCACTACAAACTTTGTAAACTGTAGTTTACCTTTAATGTTACTTCCAGGAAGATCTTCCTAATCGTTTTGCTCCTCACCACTCCTTTTTCACTAGACCTTACAATAACCTTCCTGTATACTTTATGATTCAGTATAAAATCCTGGATGTTGCCAAAAGTACGAATCCCCTTTTTAGCAATTTTCCCCCATCTTACTCCCTCTGCTTTACCAACTGTATTTAGGACTGATCCATTCTTATGGAATATAACTTCCTTTATTCTACTTTATGGAACAGTATGGTGTGATGTTAGTGTCAGGATCCTATCCTGACAACCAAGATATTGTTTAATTGTATTACTGCAATAACTGTTTCTCACCTCTAGTAGCCTCCTTAGCCACTAGTCATTCCTCAGTCCCTCTCACCTGCCTCATATGATCTTCGAAGTCGACTATAAAAGGCCACACCCAACTCATCACATGGCCATTTACATTGAGAGAAGTTGTGTTCTGCACCTGGCTCTTATTGATACTTGTTTATAGTCTGATACTGACAAGACATCTTTTCCTGGCTCATACTAATTCCTGATAACCTGCTCAACCCCGATTTCCTTTGATCCTTCTTGATACATCCTGCTTTAATTCAAATTGGACTTTTTTTTAACTATTCCTTATTTGCTTTGGATCTAACCTGCCTGGAATTTACTAACCATACTATTAATTGCAACTCTGTTGGCCAATCCTGATCCACTTATCTGGTAACTTCTATACAAATCCTCCAAACTAAAGAGACTGTTCACCTTAACTTATAACCATGCTTAATTCCATTATCCTTTTATTATGCTGTTTATTATTGTCTGATAATATTATGTTTACGTGTTCCCTATTTCACTGATAGGTTTCCCTGTCTCATGTAAACCTGCTTTGGGGCATTTTGCCTAAACTTCTAATTCTTCTACTACTCCTTCATACTTACCTGTAATTCTGTTTCTAGGTTCTGCTTTATCTTTATTATTCCTTTTTCTCTTTTTATCCTGTTATTGTTTTTGTTGCCTTTGTCTAAACCAAGTCTAATAACTCCAATAAACTACCTGAAGTCAACCCGGCATAAGTCTCCTCTGAACTGCTCAGAATCATGACAGTTAGACTTGAGAATATAATAAAAATAAAGTCCGCTATGGTGTTTGGTGCTCATTAAGAGAAAGGTGTACCTGGGTTAGGAATTAAATTAAATCTGAATACCAGCAGAAAGAGAAACCATTCAGAACCTGTAATAAAAATGGGAATACTCAAAGAGAATTTCAAATTAAAGGCCAGAGTAGCTTTACTGAAAACATAGCTGACTTAGAGATTTTTTCCAGTACAGCTATTTTGATCTTAAATTTTAAATTCACTTTGAATTCACCAAGAATTCTCATGTTGGTGAATAACCCTGATTATATTACAATGCATCTTGGGTCCGAAAGAATATGATAGGACTACATGATGGAAAAAACAGTTTAAACAGTGGATGGTTCAATGAGAATGAACAACAAGTATCTTCTACATTAACAGAGAAGTGGAAATATATTGTAACACATCCCTTCTTTTATACCTGTGAACAGTGTACTGCTTATGCTATCCAAGATCTCAATGAAAATACATCTGGAAACAAGCCAATGCTGACATACCACCACACTACCCCCTTCTGACATATCTGGGTTACAACAACATTTTCGCTAAGTACCATGATAAAGCACTATACTAAAGCTCATTTTATAATAGGTGATTGTTTTGAGAGGCAGCTAAAGGTTTGTCAGACAACTTGTGGGCAAAATGAATGTTATTACAAATCACTGCTTAGAAATGGTAACTTCATTTTGTGCCAGTTGAATGTAAAAGACACAAATACATTTTTTTTTTCTTTCTGGTAAACACTATTCATTAGTGAAAACAGATAAGGCTTGTGTCTGTCATTCACCATCCAGGTTGTAAAAACCTTGGAATGTGGCTAAAGATAACATTCTACATCTTTTGCAGCCTGACACTGCACAATAGAAAAAGTGTTTAAAAGGAGTGGGGTTAAGAAAGGCCCATACTTAAACTATATACTTATAAACTTAATTATATACAGAAGATATTACTCCTTTTTTGATTTTTTTTTTTAACTAGATAGGTTTTTTTTTGTTATTAAATTCTAACACAAAATGTATGTACTAAAGATATATACAATATATGTTAAAACATATTATTAGTAATATAAATATGTATTATTCTAACAATATGGTCAGTGTAACCAGAATCCAGACACAGATAAGCTAATGTATGATTGTCTCAGAAGATGTAT